ACAAGCAGGGATGCAGCAGGCAGAGGGAGGGGGAGAAGCAGGCTCCCCGCGGAGCAGGGAGCCCGACGCGGGGCTCGATCCCAGGACCCCGGGATCATGACCTGAGCCGAAGGCAGACACTTAAGCAACTGAGCCACCCAGGTGCCCCAAAGCACATCACATTTTTCAGTGAAACTTAACTGGCCGGCCCATCTTTAGTTACTTCTCAAGTTCACAAAACGCATAGGTCATGCTGAATTATCCCCCAAATGAACTCTGGACTTCTCAATCTGGGACTCAGGAAAGGTTAGAATTTAACCATGTTAGGCTTGATGATTTCCTAATACTGCTTAAATCAGACTATCCTAAGAAGCTGTCATCCAAATTTCATCCCCCAGCACCTAAAAAAGCAACCTGTGTTTCTCAAGGTGTCATTTTTACAATCAACTGTCCACTGTATGTTCTACAACTAAAGACAAGACACCCAGTGTCATTTTTTTACCTCCTGCTTTCTGGTGTACCTTCACGTACAGTAACACAAATATGGCATTTATAAGGCCCTGATTGATTTCCCAACTTCTCCAAATGTGTAGGTTTTCTCTCTGTGCTTAAGTATCTTAAGAGCAACAAATTTAATTTTTAAAATTTCCTTCACTACTCCCCCTTCCCAATCATACACATCATTTAATAAGATGTGTGGAACTATGGAGATGTTTAAACATGTTTCCCGAAGGAATAACTGAACATACAGTAGTATATAATGAATTTTTAAGAACATCTTAATATTCTGTAGGCAGAAGTTGCTTGCTCTGTATTAGTGTTAAAGACAATTCTTACAAGAAGCTGTTTCAGTGGTTATCTTTAGATTGTAGAATCATGGATGGTTTTTATGTTGTTCCTTATATCTTATACATTTTTACAACACATAGCTATTTATCTCATAAAAAATATTTACAAGATTATAAGAAGTTACTGGGAAGCAAGAGAAAATGTATTGACATAAACTCCAAGAAAGTTCTTTTAGGAGGGGGATGAACAGGGCAGCCATGGCAAAGACAGCCAGATGTTCCTCAGTATGTGTTATCCCATCTTTGAAACTAACAGGACTCCTGGTTTAGTTGGGCACATACAAAGACTACATTTCTCTGGCCTCTTTTACCGTTAGTATGGCCATATGCAGAAACGTCATAAAGCAACCCCCCGGAACCTCCCTTTGAAGACACAGGAATAGTTCTCTGGCCTCCTTTCTTCTTTGTCACTTCCCCCATCCTGCTGCCTGGAATGCAGATGTGATGACTGGAACACTAGCTGCTTTATTGGACCGTGAGTTCACACATAGGGATGGAAGAACAATGTGCTAGAAAAATCCTGGGTCTCTAAGACCTCTGCGGATCAGAGCTATCATACTACACCTCTATACGTCTATGTAAAAGAAAGATAAACTTCTCTTTTGTTAAGCTATTTTGCGTGTTGGGTCTCTGTTACTTGGATCTACACTGAATTCTAATGGATACAGCAGTCACTCCCCTGTGTCTCCCCTCCCCCACAAAAAATTAAGACCAGATCTTGAAAAGAAGAAAAATGTTAAACGATTAACTGGGGTATGTTACAGTAAAACTTTTTTAAACAGAAATTT